GCTCCAAGCTGTCTGACCTGAGAGCTTCTGGAAGATTCTCATGTCTCTACCTCCCGTCTTGCTGTAGGTGTGCTGGAATTACAGATGCACACTACTGAATCTAGCTTATTTTGTGGGTTTGGGGATAGAGCTTAGACTCGCATGGCAAGTGCTTTTACCTGCTGGGCCATCTAACTGACCCGCCACCTTATTTTTTGTCTGAACCTAGAGCTCCTGGTTTCAGCTAAACTAGCTACCTGGCCAGCCTGGGATCTGTTTGTCACCAACCCCAGCACTGGAGTTACAGTGCACTCCCATGTCTGGCATTTACTTGGGTGCAGGGGATGCTAACTCAGGTCCTTATGCTTACACAATAAGCACTTTACCCACTATATTACTTACTTTTCTGCTACTGTAATAAAACACTGACCAAAAGCAACTTACAGAAGAAGAGTTTATTTGGGCTTAGGTTGCAGAAGGAGAGTCCATAATGGGAGGCATGGCAGCAGAAGGCTGGAACAGGAAGCTGGGAGCTCACTGCTTCAAAGGCAAACAAAAGCAGGAGGAAAAAAAAAAACCCCAAAACAACAACAACAAAAAAACAGTGAGGCCAGGCTAAGAACTCTTAAAGCCCTCACCAGGTGATATACTTCCTCCAGCAAGGCTGCACCTCTTAAACCTCCTCAGCAGTGTCACCAACTGAGGACCAGGTATTCAAATAGTTGAGCCCATTCAAACCACCACACCCACTGAACCATGTCCCCAGCCCCAGTATAAACATCTTTAATCTTTATGACTTTGATGAGGAAGAGTGTCCTGGTCATTCTATTTATTACCAAAAAGACAGGTCAGATATGTATAAATCATACAGATGAACTATCAAGACCCCGAAGGTTGGCAAGATGGCGAGCATCTGCCACCAGTCGGATGACCTGTGTCTGATCCCTGTGGACTCACTTGGTGGAGGGAGAGAAGTGACACCTGCAAGTTGTTTTGTTTTGTTTTGTTTCCTTTTCCTCTCTCTCTCTCTCTCTCTCTCTCTCTCTCTCTCTCTCTCTCTCTCTGTGTTTGAGACAGGGTCTCCCTGTAGCCCCAGCTGACCTGGAACTCACTATATAGACCAGTCTGGGCTTGAACTCACAGAGATCTGCCTGCCTCTGCCTCTCAAGTGCTGGGATTAAAGGCATGAGCCACCACGCCCAACTGCAAGCTCCACACCTCCATACCTCCATACCTCCACACCTCCACACCTGCACCATGACACCAGCTTCTCCCAAAAAATTGTGAAAAAAAAAGAGTGAGAAGGTATCAGGAGATTGAAGACATAGCTGAGGGGCAGAGTGACTGACTGCCTAGCATGCCTGAGGCCCTAGCACCACAAGACAGAAGAAAATGTAATACAGAAGTCCCACAAGTAAGTTTAAGGAAACAAGAGGACTGGGAAGGTATCAGATAAGCCATGGGTAAAAGCAAGGGTCCTGGTAGATGCTGTGTGCTAGGTTTGGCAATGGGAGGTTTATGCCATTTGTATGATGTGTGATAAGGTGCACATGGAGAAAGCAGCTATTAACACTGATTAACTCAACAGTTGACCACCAGCACACACAGCCATTGTTTTCAGCAGCACTCCTTAGTGATGGGCTTTGTCTGACTGGCTTCACGAGAGACAAATGGCATTACAGGAGGCCAAATAACCTCATTTAGGTGGACTTCAGATAATAGAGACGCTCAAGGTATTAGCCTGACTGCATTAGTCTGATTTGCTACTACTGTTCACCTTGTCCTGAGCATTAATGGAGACAAAGGCCTGGAATTACCAGCAGCAGAGATAAGCTGTGGATTAGAGCCCTGTGCTCAGCGGGAAGGAGAATTCTACCCTAGCTTTGCATCTTGCTTGGTTTTCCTCACAGCTAATGTCCTATTTTTCCCCGAATATCATTATATTCACTCCAAATTATTAGCAATTTTAATTCCAGAAAAGTTACAGATTCATTATTCCCTCTAATGAGATCATGTTTTATCTTTTAGGTTTTTGAAACTAATTAAAAAAAATTTTTTTTAGACAGGGTCTCCTTTGGAACTTGCTATTTAGAACAGGCTGGCCTCAATCTCACAGCGATTTCCCTGTCTCTGCCACCTGAGTGCTGGGCTGAAAATAATTTTAAGATATCATGCTGCTTCTTGAATATTCATATATATTATGAACTTGTTTCATAAGAGTTATAATATAACTGATATTCTTGTTAATACTGAAAAATATAAAAGGTTGTACATGTGTTTCAGTTGTTTCTTTAACATTAAAAATTCTTGTACCATTTGAATTTTTCTGACTTCTAAATATTTCAATTACAACTGTATCTTTTTTTTTGTGGTGCTGGGAATTGAACTCAGGACTTTACACATGCTAGGTAAGCACTCTGCAGCAGAGCTACACCGTAACACAAATTATAACATTTGTATTGGGTTATTTTAGTTATAAGCACATAGTAATATCAGTTATACATGTAATCTAATTCAGTTATAAACAAACTTAATTTTAGGACCCAAAAATCAATTATTGAAATTGTTGCTGGAAAATACTGAGGTAATGATAGTCACAAGTTGCCATTTCTTTCCTCATGAGATTTTTTAATAGATATAGCCAGCTTTTATACATTGTTTTTAAAGGGTAGAGTGTTAGTTGTCGATCAATATTTGTGATGCTGTCTCTTTTTTTTTCAGGATTCTGGAATTTCTTACAGACTCCCCACATTCTTTATTGATTTGGTTTAATTCTAGATATATTGTGGACAAACTGTGGTTTCTCTTTGAAATCCAAATTTGTGAAAAACACTACTTCAAAAATGCCCAAATATTAATATTGAAGAAAAATTTCTTGTTATACTGGGTGTGGTGGTGCAGGCCTTTAATTCCAGCACTTGGGAGGCAGATGCAGGCAGATCTCTATGAGCTTGAGGCCAGCCTGGTCTCCATAGTGAGTTCCAGGCCAGCTGGGGCTACAGGGAGACCCTGTCTCAAAAAGACAAAAAACAAAAAAATTTTAAAAAAGTAGCAAAAGCAACAAATGTTTTCTATGATATACAGAAGATCTACAAAATATTTAATGGTGGTTCTCTCTTTGAGGTGGCATTTACTTGTACGGTATATAAATCATTTACAATTTGTATATGAGACTTTAGGGATCTAAATAAAAGCTTATTCATACCACATGGCACAGTGCCCCCCAGTCTCCTGCCCCATTGCTCGCTCCTGGAAACTTCCAGTCCTTAAACTTAACATTTCCATAGGCACTCAGTGGAGAGCAAAGGAGGTGGCTGGTGGAGAGGGCTGGCTAATAGACTCCATAAAGGCTGCTCCAGTTGTTCACTAACAGAAGTTCTTCACACTGAAAAAGTGGCCCAGTCTTCCTCAGAAGACTTTGAACATCTCTCGTCATCCTGGTACAAGTTTGGCTGCTCTTCTTTTTCTCCTCTCTCCCTATTTTGGCAAGAGTGGAAAAGAATAAGCAGTTTATTGCTGATCAATTGTTGGGGAAACAGAGCTTTTTACCCCAAATGTGCTCTCAGTAAATGATTGATTTTACCAAGTTCTGAATCAAGCTCAGAAATAAAGGCAAAATTGTCTCTCAATAAATAAGCAAGCATTCTATTAAAAAAGTATAGTAGTAATAGATTTGATGATTAAATGACAAACTTCTTCCGATCTTGACCCCAAAAGAGACTGAGCAGAAGATTGGGGGGATAAGAAAGGAGAAGGGAAAATTCAGTTCAGATGAAGAAAACTGAAATCCTGCTTCCATTGGACAGAATTGGAGTGCTCAAGCTAACACTTCAAAACCAAACAAAAGCCTGCCCAGTTAGGTCTTCCATTAACTGGCAAACAAATATCCAGGCTTGCTTACAGTGAAGCCTCCCTTCCTGTCACATAGCCCCTCCTCCCATCTTCAGATGGCAGGTGCAAAGGGAGAGTGGGAAATAGAAAAGTGGCTTTGTCCCATCAGTGCCCTGAATAGTTCACCATGTCAGAACACACAAGAAAGGAGGGTCAGTTAGTCCCTCTACCATCAACACAACACAGTCATGGAGTGTATGATTGATTGAACTGGAAATGGAAGCAAGCCAGATGATCATTGTCACTTAAAAGAATGAAAGTAGAGCACATTAAAAGATCCTGAAAACTATCTGAAAATTTGCAGTTATTTGCAGTTGTATTCATTTAAAAATGTAAGATTATTATTATTATTATTATTATTTATGTGTGTATATGTGAGCGATGCACAAGTGGAGGTCAGAGGACAACTCTCAAAAGCTGTTTCTCTCCTTCCACCATGTGGGTCTGGCCTTTGCCTGAGCCATCCTGTCAGCCCTGCAGTTTAATACAGTGATGGGAATATGAGACCGGATGACTTTATATTTGTACTTTGGCATAATGACTTCTTTTTCAAAAAACAACTTTGAAATTGGCATGCTCTAAGGATGATCTGTTTTGACATATGGTGAGAAATCAACAGACGATAAATGATGATTAATTCATTTTATAATATATAGTGTAATCATGTTTCAAAACGTACCTGCAAGAAGCTAATTAAGTTGTACCTTTTTCTTTTGGATTATATTACTTGAAATAGTTTGTAAATCATACCCAGTCTTTGGAATCACTTAGTTATTAGTTTAGTGATTTTACTAATTACATTATCTTTGCTGACTTAAAAATAGCTGAAATCCAAGGGTCGGGAAAAGGGGGTACATCTGGAAGGAGTTGGGGGAGAACTAGAAGTGAATATGATCAAAATACGTTGTATGCACGTGTGAAATTCTCAGAGAATTAATAAAATGTATTAAACTAGCTCTTGTTTCTGAAACTGTTTATTAAAATATATAGGAAAGGTCTTTACTGAACTAAAAACATCCAACTATAATGTGTACTATGCTAGAATCATTTTTGAAACACACTCTCAGAAAAACTGACAATATTCAGATTAAACTCAAGAAAAGAACCACACATTTTAAATACTTGATATTTCCATTGATTCCTTGTGTTCTATAACGGGAAGGGAATCTCAGATGTTTAATTTTCTGTATATTCCAGAAGATCTGTGTTGAAGGGTTTTTTTGACATTAGAAATTGTGATTCCCTACGGGACCTTTTCAGCTTTGCACGCCGATTTTGGAACCAAATCTAAAATCAAGGAAAAATAAAACAGGTATCAGAAACATTATTGTACTACCACGAGTAGCAACTGTGATTGAAAATTACCTGGATTCTATCTTCCTCTAGATTCAGCTTCTGAGCTAAGTCCTCTCTGATATCAATGCCAGGATAGCAATTTACTCTGAAGACATTTTCCAACACTTCAACCTAGAATAAGGAAAGAATTTTTTTAAAGTGATAATACTCCACATCACCAAAATTAGGTTTTCATTTGTAGAGCAAAATTTTAAAAATGCACTTAAACTTGGGCAGTTAATCTAAATGTCTTTTTAAAAGTGATTACCCAGAAACTGTTAAAATATAAGTTGTTGTTGCATTATTAGGATGTCTATACTGGGATCCCAGGGGTAACAGGCATTTTGCTCACCAGGGAATCAGTTACAGCCTTTGAATGATCACTATTGAGTGAAAAACGTCCCACCTGGTTTTGAGTAAAAGCAGTCCTTGGTCTTCGGCCTCTGTACCAACTCAACTCTCTTTTCAAAGAGAGTCTTTCTGAGGCTGAAAAGTAATTTTCATATTTCAAAGCCCTTTCTTCTGGCACTAGGTGATCCAGCATGCAAGGAAATGAGATCTCACTGGGAAGATTTGAGACATGTAGACATGGGTTGCTGTCATTCTCTAAAATCAGAAAAACAAATTCCATCTTAGATTGCCTGTTCAATAAGAAGTCATTTCAGTAACTTGCTTTCAATTTTCCTAGTAAATCTTTCTGGGTTTCATAAAAGAACTGCCTCCTCCCACCAACCCCCAAACCAAAAGGCGCACACACATAATCCTGCCTTGACGATAGAGAAAATTTTGGACTCTACCACTTATTTTTCAATGAAAAGAGATTTAGAGCATCTGATGTGTCAAATACACAGATTTTCTGAAGGACATGGCTTCTTGCCTTCTGTGAGTCCACTCTGAGGCATTACAGCTATATAATTGAATGAAAGCATAGTTTCTCCCTAACTCTATATAGTGTGAAATAGAGGACAAACTAAAAGTCAAATGAATTTAAAAAGTAAGTGGTGGCATACCTGAGGAGCTGCAGGTGTCTGCCCAGGGTCTGTGGGGTCTCACTGAAGGAACACAATCTCTTTTCTGGTCCAGTCCTAAAATGCTCTCAATTGAGAAGGAGGAGAGTGAGGGTTTGCTCTCCGGGAGCTGAGCACCTTCCTGAAGACTGGGAGACATCCTCTTTAGGTTTGCACAGAGCAAAGAGCCCTGGTCTTTCTGCAGGTTCAGGCCCCCACGTGTGCTCCACTGGGATCTTCCTGCAGTTCACTTTATACTCTGCTGACTAGGGGGCTGGATTTAGAACGTCACTAATTAAAATCCTGTTCTAGAAAGTTTTAGCATGTCAATGAACACTTGCCCAGCCAGCAGCTTAAGGAGTTAATTGTTTATTTGTTTGCAAGTAATTAGCAACTAATGGCTACACCAGGGGGGCCACCTACAGGGACAAAAAGTGTTATCTCACCTCAGCAGAACACAGACTTAACTTTCTCAAAATAAGTGATGCACTGATGTAGCACTCCTCTTTTATTTGGAATCATTAATGTATAAAATCATGTTTTTATTTTGAAGTTTATAGTTTCATGGACTCCAGTTACCTACACATACAGGCCAGACAGGAAAGCAGTCAAGTAGCAAATAATCTAATTTAGTAAATGTTCTTCCAAGGAAGTTAAAAAAATAATAATCTCTTAATGCTATTATAGTAATTCTGATGAAAATGCTGGTTTTTCATATGCATATGTAATAGTGAATGTTGTCAATGAAAACAGTACTATTTGGAGTACAGCATACTGGAAAAGGTTGGCTGTGTGGTTAAGCTGAGTGTAATTGTATTCCAAGTGTCTGGATTAAGTCATGGGAACAGTTGCACCAAGTATTTTAAATAATTAGTGAGCTAATTCCTTTCTTTCATGTTTTTTCTTTCAAATGAATGAGATACAAGTTTACATGAAGGTTCATATGCTACAGAGAACAATTTCTCTCTATAACACAATTATTTCAAAGAAATAACATAATTATTTTTTATATTTTTATTTTTTGGGACAGGGTCTCACTCTGTTACCCTGGCTAGCCTAAAACATCTCATACACAACAGGCTAGCCTTGAACACATAGAGATCTGCTTGCCTCCCCTTCTCAAGTTCAAGGATTAAAGAGAGATCACGCCCCCGCCCTCGCCTTTACTTTTTATAGCATAGGGAGCAAACTCCTGGGCTTAGGTGCATGCTAGGCAAGCACTCTACCATTGAACTACTACCCCAGTGCTAGGTAACCGTATTTTTTCTCTCTCTCTCTCTCTCTCTCTCTCTCTCTCCCTCTCTCTCTCCTGTCTCCTTATGCTGGAGATTGTACCTGAGCCCTCTAGTGTGCTAAGCACATGTTCTATCAGTGAGCTATACCCCAGCTGTCTTAGTTTGTTTCTTCATTGCTGTGACAAAACAATCTGAGCACTACCAACTTGGGGAGGAAAGGCTTTATTCAGCTTACATCTCTTGGGTCACAGTTCACTAGGGATCCCAAGGTAGGAACTCAGGTCACGAACCTGGAAGCAGGAGCTGGAGCATAGACCATCGAGGATCACTGATTACTGACATATAAACTAAGAATACTTTTAAATTTTAAAGAATAGAATATTTTACTTTCCTAAGAAAACTTGAAATTAAAAAAATAATTGCTAGCCAGGCCTGGTGGCACATACTTTTAGTCCCAGCACTTGGGAGGCAGAGGCAGGTGGAACTCTGTGAGTTCAAGGCCAGCCTGCTCTGTATAGTGAGTTCCAGGCCAGCTGGGGCTACAGGGAGACCCTGTCTCAAAAAGCCCCCCCCCAAATAATAATAATTGCCAATTGGGAAGATTTTGAAGTGGCTGTTTTCTCAAAAAGTATGTAGTTCTGGGGCTGGAGAGATGGCTTAGTGGTTAAAAGCACTGGCTGTTCTTACAAAAGACCAGGGTTCAATTCCCAGCACCCACATGATGGCTAATAACCATCCATAACTCCAGTTCCAGGGGAATCTGACGCCCTCTTCTGACCTCTGTGGGCATTGCATGACACGGGTGCACTACATACACACAGGCAATGCACTCATAGATACACATATACACACACACACACACACACACACACACGAAAGTATGTAGTTCTGCTCTTCTTTCAGTACTGATTGATTGATTGATCGATCAACTGTGAGGCAGGGTCTTCTGTGTAGTCCTTGAACTCATGCAACACCTGCCCCAGCCTCCTGGGTGATGGGATTCCAGGTGTGCATCACCAGGCTCCCTTCTTGCAGATAATTTGAAGTACTTACTTTCTCCGTCATTGAAATGACTGCTGCAGTGGTGGAGGGTAAGATATGTGGTGGCAGATAGAAAATAAACCATAATTATAAGTAAATCACCTAGTGTGTTAGCCAGGGATAAGCACGGAGAAAGGAAACAAATGAGCCAGGTAAGAGATCATCAGTAGAAGGTGGAGGGGTAGGTGTCAGGCAGGCCCCACTGAGGTCCTCAATCCAAGGTGCAAAGCACAAGGAAGACGCAGCACATAATAAAGCAACTCCAGTTTCCAAATGCATCCTTGTTAACAGGCACTTACTCATATTTTTATTTAGCTTGAATTGGTTTCATTTGGATGTAGACAATACCATTTCATAATTTTATTGTGTGTGCATGTATGCGTATGTGCAAGTGTGTGTGTAGGGGGGTATGTGTGCCACACATGCATGTGGATGTCAGAGGACAACTTGTGGGAGTCAGTTCTCTCCTTCTGCTATGTGTGTCCCAAGGAGTGAACTCAGGTTATCAGGATTAGAATCAAGCACTTTTACCTGCTGAACTGTCCTGCTGGCCTAATACCATTTTATATATGTGTGACTAGATGAAAACAAAGGCAAGAAAGAATTTCTCTAAAAATGTGTAAGAAATGCTTTTTTTCATATAGTCAAACAATAGATTTTCTAAAAGACATATATTTTTATTTTATGTGTCTGTTTGCCGGCATGTATGTGACCATGTATCAGATCTCCTGGAACTGGAGTTACAGGCAGTTGTTAGCCACCATGTAGGTGCTAGGAACTGAACCCTGGTCCTCTGCAAGAACAGCAAGCGTTCTTAATTCCTGACAAGTTTTCTTAATCACTGAGCCATCTCTGCAGCCCCCACACAATGAATTTTTATAGGGCATTTAATATGGGGCAAATACTATTCTAGGTGCTTGAGTTCAGTGATGAACAAAACATGATAATTTCAGAGTGATAAACAAACTGAAAGACAGAAACAAGGTGATGGTGATGCAACATAATGGGGGAGGATATTTTTAAGAACAGTGAGGTGGCCCGTAGTCCAGGAAGGCTTGTTCAAGGAGGTGACATTTTAGCTGAACCTGAGAATGATAAGCCATTATGCTCAGAGCCTGAGAAAAAGCTCTACCAGTCAAAGAAAATGGCCAACGATGGTCTTTTGAAGAAAGAGTAAGTTTAGAGAGAGGTGCTGTAAGACTTTGAATGTGGACGGTGTGCCCATAGGCTCATGGTGTGAGGGCTTGCTTCTCAGTTTGTGGCTCTATTTTGAAGGCTTGGAGCCTTTAGGATGTAGGGCCTGACTGGTGGAGGAGGTCACTAGAGGCTGGCCTTTCGAGGTTATACTTATCTCTGGTTCTTCTGTCTTGCTTTCTTTGCTTTCCTGGTATGCTGCCATGTTATGAGTCTCTGCTACCTGCTCCTGCCTCCAGGATCGCCACCATGCCTGCCCTGCTATGTTGTACTGCAATCTTTCTGAAACCATGAGCTAAAATAAACTCTCCTTTAAGATGCTTCTGTCAGGTATTTTTGTCACAGCAAAAGGAACTAAAGCAGGTGCCATTCATCAGGAGGTTCTTGGAGACTGAATGACTGGGTAAGTGGTTCCAAGTTTTTAACCTCATGATATATCATGTAGCCATCTGTTCATTATGGCTTCATGGAGGACACAGTGTATTTCCCATCTCTTGACTTAGAGCTTGCTTTGGTCAACGGGAGGGGATGTGAACAGAAGCACAAAGTGTTTTCAAATGTTTGGCTTCTGACGTCACTGTGATATCATACCTAGGATAGCTACTGCCCTCAGCCTTCAACCCATGGACACACATGTGTCAGACTCTAACTCATTCTGCAGCCTATGACCAAGTCAGAGGAGGCCAGCCAAGCTCACTTGAATACCAACTGACCTGATATTTTATGAGTGGGGAAAAATGAATATCCATTGCTCAAGCCCCTGCCATTCATCAGATTTTTTTATACATAGCATCTTTTTGTTTTTTTTTTTTAATATTT